CCTCTGATGCTGCCTGGCCTGCTGTGTTCCTCCAGCTCCACACTGTGACAGCTCAGCCCAGTGCTGTTTTCACTCGACATACTTATAAATTCACTTCCCAGCCGAGTCATTATTATGCCAAGAAAGAAAATCCCGTCTGAGCATTTCCTTCACTAGCCCAAGGAAACTAATGCTCTACATTTTCAGGTCATCTTTTTCTACAAATATGGGAGTACAACCCCTTTAGTCCAATTTATCCATGAAGTGCTTTGCTCCCTTGATGCATTTCTAATAAGCCTGAATTTGTCTGATGACAAAAATATGTATAGTTCCTTCACGAAACCTACTAATTTTTCTTGCTCCATTATCCTTGAGGGTAATTTGTTTCATTTACTTTCTACTCTTTTAGACAAAACTTCAATTTTTTTTGTGTTTGTCTGCTCAAGGTGGAGAAGAAAGGTTAGTGCCTACTGTAAGCCAAAGCTGATAAGGCACAAGTCTAAACATTCACAAAATATATTTCTGGCCTTTGAACCTCTTTTGCAAGGGTCTGTGTTGCAATATAGCTCCAAATTTTCCATTTACTCCCATAATCAATTTCATTGTTTGACACTTAGGGACAATCACAACATCCTCTATGTCTAATTTATGAAATAAAACCCACCAAAAACAACCATTCCAAATTAACATTCTTTTACAAAACATCTGATAATCCAAACAAAATTCAACTCAGCCCCTTTTTTTGCATTCCAGTATGTACTGTCTTGTGGATGTTATTGCTTGTCACTGTGCTCAAGGTGATGTAACACCGATGGCTTCCAATGTTGGTGGAAGGCTGCTGACTTTCAGTGGAGGAGACGGGATATGGCCTTGCACAAGGATCCTGAGTGGCATTAGGCCTTGAGGACCTGGCTTTGAGTTGCATTAATGCCACCTACATGGACTGGATGGTTGACAGGCAATAGCAAGGGCACTGGCAGAGTCATGGTGCTGGGAGTGTGGATGCTGTACTTTTGGTAAAGGACAATAGGTCTGAGCTCCGCAGAGCTACTGCCACTTCCACAGGTCATCATCTCAGAAATCTGAGTATTCTGCCAGAGAACAGATTACTGAACTGGTGTGAGAACTCGCAAGTCCCTTTGAACATTGAATTTCCATGGAGACAATTTGAGATTTCTTGATCTCAGTTTAAGGTTTCGCTGTATTGCTCAGCTTTCTGGTTGTGCTGCATTGGACGTTGACACATTGGCCATTAGACACTACAGTCAACACTACAAGTGTTCCCCTGGAGCTAGACTCCACTTCCATGCTGGACAGGATGATGTCCAAGCTCTCTCTCTCAGGTCGGAACTGAACTCCACTATGGTCTTTAACGGTGACAGTGAGCTATTTACCAGTGCACCTTGTGTTTCTGTGTTCTTGTCTATAAGCTGTTTACTGTGTTGTGACCCAAGTCACAATATTAATGTCCTCAGCTGAGTCTTCTGTAGTGGAACACATATATGACCTCATCCTCCAGGGAGCTTGCCTGCGTGTAACCCTTTCCTTCTGGTTTTGGCAGTGGTCTCTTCTGCCCAGTAACTCATGCCATCTCACCTCTACATTATGTATAGTGCCAGAATCTGAGCTTGTTGCTGTATGTGTCAGATCATATGATGGTGGTTTTACCTCATCAGTCTCTCCTTCACCTGGGCCTTCAGACTCCCATCCCACATATCTGGCCTTCAGTACCTTAAAGCATAGGGAGACAAGGTGAGGGAAGTGAGGGACAGCAAGAGGTGCATATCTGCTGATGAGGGGGAAGTAGGATTAGGCAGAAACATACCATCCTGATGATTTCGACCTGATAGCTGATCAATAATGCACTTCAACAATGGCCAGCAGTATCTTCTCCATGGGGGCGAGGACATGGCTCTTATTAGTTCCCCTGTCCTGCATGAGACAGACAGACACAGAGAGAGACATGTGTCAGTAACTGTGGTGCAATGTGTTTTGCAGAGGTCCCTGTTATGGTTGAACTGGCAGTGTGTACAATGTGCTAAGACATGTGATTGAGACTTGTAGCAATGCTAAGTGTGCGAGGATGATGTGGCAGTGCAAGTAATGGTTGATCAAGAATATTGGTGGGCAAGTGAAAGAGGTGTGCTGAATTGAGCAGTATGTGAGACTAACAGTTCATTTGTAAGGATGTGGCATTTGAAGATGCATTCATCAACCTTGATTTCACATATGAGGTCAGTAAACTTAGTTTGGCACTGTTTTCAGATCATTGGGAATAGATTTGTTGCATTAACCACAATGATAAACTGATCCCATTGCTTTCTCAACATCTGCCTGGAGAGATCTCCTCCCGTATTTTTGTGCCAGAGTCTCCAGAATATCATTTGGGAACCTTGCACTCTCTCAGGACCATTCTGACATTTTGTAGATTTTTCTTGGGCTTCAAATCTGTTTTATTCAGTTTCCACCCCACTGCAGTCAGCATGCACTTCACCTGACGAAGGGGCTACGTTCCGAAAGCTTGTGATTTCAAATAAACCTGTTGGACTATAAGCAGGGGAGGGGGGGAAACGTATGACTTCTGAGTATGTGTTTAGTTAAGAGAGACAGGCTAACTTTAAGAATGCAGGGTAGTTTAAAGTGACAGTAAACTAATACCACCCAGCAGTGCATTAATGTCAGGGCTTCACTTCACAGTCATTATAATTAGCAGGTAGCACAAAGACTGTGGCTCTCTGTATCATTTTGAATATGCGCATGTTAATTTTGTGGGCCATCTATTTTAGATCCACCTCCTCAGCCCCACCCACCCACTTCATTTTGCTAGACATCCTACTTTGTCATTCTCTGTGACTTCAATTGTATCTCTTCAAAGAATGTCCTGGTTTGACTCTTCAGGGGAATACTAAGATGAAAGTTTAGGGTTTGTAATTTCTGTCTTTCCAATTATATAGTCAACTCCAGAAAATAGAGTGGACTTGAAACTGCTAGAATTTCTTACAAAGATAAATTTAACAGGGATAAACACATGATGACGTACAGTACATAGAAGGTGTGATTGCAGGCATCTATCACAAAGGTATAGCAGATGAATAAATTTTTCATTTGGAAAAGTATTTACAGGAGTAGATGCTTCTGCGAAATATATCATGTAGCAGAATGGACATTTTTGTGAAGCATTTGAAGTGCCATAAGATTATGTGAAAGCAAAGTAACTCCGGGCAGCGCCCATGCTTCTAATATAAAATAAGGGGCCATAAGATTACTTTGGTCAAATATGGAGATAAGAGTTGAATTCAAGAGGTTGGCTGAGAGTGACTACTCTTGATATCAACACAATATTTGATTTTTTTTAATGTAGGAAGTTATGAGACCGAAAATATTTTCTAATCGACCTGTTCAGAGATGCTATTACACATCTCTGCAGTAGGTGGGACTTGAACCCAGGCCTCTTGGTTCAGAGGTACGGTCATACACTGCAACCACAAGAGCTCCAATGAGTACTTATATGGCTGATCATGATCATTTCTGTGTGTAATAAGATCTCTCAACAGGTTGATTAGAAAATCATTATAAATGCTCTGGATATACAAGCAGGACAGAGCTGGGAATTCTGAGGTGACTAACTCACTTCATGATGCTCTAAAGTCTGTACTACTATCTGCAAAACACAGATTGGAAATATGATGAAGTAATTTCCATTTAGATGGATGAGTGCAGCTCCAAAAACACTCAAGAGGCTCAATGCTATCCAGCAGCTTGCACAAGATGGCTGTGGTGTGAACCATCCCCAAGCAAATTTGATAAAGGTCCATTAACAGCACTGGTGAATTTGTCTGCCAAATTTAGTATAGTGTGATCCTGGAAATGAATAGACTGAGGACCAACCACTTGAATTTACCTTTAACATGTCTAAAGTAAAAATGTTTAAAGTTCTTCACAGGAGCATGATCAGGCAGTTATTTTTCAGCTACATGAAGATATGTTAAAAGCAAAGGCTTGTTCAAAGAAGTGTTTTGAATTATAATGTATTATAATGATAGACTGTCCAGTTTCCACAAAAACTGAGGCTTCAGCTGAACATTCAGCTCATGTCTGGGAGTTGTTGTTGATGATTTTCACCTTTCTGTCTAATAGACATTAAGTAAATCCATTATGTCGGATACAACATCAAATGTTGTATCATCTGTTGATCAATAAGTGGAAATTGGACTTATTATAATTTGACTCTCAGCAAATTGCCACTTTACAGACTTGTAGTGCTAATTGAATTGTGCATTCATGGTAGTTTGCTATTGTAT